GGAATTTCGAGGCAAAGTTTGGATTTTTGAATACTCATGAAGAACTTTCAACTGAACAGACCCTGATCGGTCCGAGTTGTAAAGCTTATTGAGTTACCGATACAGACAAAGTCATAAAAATTGTAGTTCGCTTTTTTTCTAGATGTTTGACATTTCTTTGTGCTGCATATGTATACAGTCTTCCTTAAGAGAGTCTCTCTCCCCATTTTTCAGTAAATTTTCAAAATTGGGATAAACAACCTGAGGATAGTGTCCTCTACAAAATAAGATGTTTCCCATTTTTCCATGCCATTTCGTTTAAAAGTTATGAATGGTCTATATAAAGGAAAATCATGTTAGAGTCTAACGCATGAGTCGTCTGTCAAATGTTGTACATCGACATGAACAAATAGTGTTGAGTACGTCAGATTGTCATCCATTGCACGAAGATGAATGTGACGATAACCTAACACGGGAAATTGAAAAGATTAATATTTATATGAGAATGAAAGTTAATAAGATCTTTGTACCTGTTTGAATTGTCGTCAAAGGTAAACAAAATGAGCCTAGAATATCGTCAAAACCAATGATATCTCTATCAAAAATAACAAATCGTACGAGACATAATTCAGGCACACTGATTTCAAACACTATTGTTTCATTCCAAGTTGGATTTAATCCTAAAAGTAAATCATTTGTACAATGAACTATTTTTTTAGTCTCTGTCAACCCACCATTATCGATTATAGCACGTGTTTTTTCCTCTTGACAATCACTGTTTACTCCATATGTAAAAACTTTAACGTACGGATCAACAATATCTCTAGTGGGTGTTCGTCTTGATAAATATTGAGCACTAATTATGCGAAGAGTTAATCGTTGCTTAGATACATCGTTTGATGCTAACGGATTAAATTCTGAATTAACTGTGCCAAATAAAAAAAAAACGGTTTGCTCGTCATTACTGTGGGTTTAGATACCAGGGTTTCAGATGAACGTGCATGTACAATGTTGCGCACAGAAATCGTACGCATCAGGAAGATATGCACGCATTCTTGCGCACGAAGTAATGACTACTTCTCTCGCAGTAATTTTCAAGAATAAATTGAGAGCACTATTGAAATTTCATTTAAATAAGAAGGAAAAATAATGTTTATTTAAGATATGCTCTAGGTTATTATTAATTTAATCAATTATACCTGTATAAAACCAAATTTAATCAGCGTTTGTCTACATGTTCATATTTCTTCTATTTTGCATTATTTGACTGTTATCTATGACTTAAACAGTATAATTAATTATTGTGAACAAACTAATGAATCGATCATAAATAATATTTTGTTCAGTACATTATGTAGTCAATCCAAAATGATCAGAATGATCATACAAGAGAAGGTTGTTGATGGAAACGATTTGTGAACACAAAATAGTGATAAATAGGCGGATTGTCCAAGCGTGACGCTGTGACATTTTTGACACAGTAATTTGACCTTTTCTCAAAAAGTGTAAGAGCTAGAAGCTTCGTTCTTGCGCCATTCGATGCAGCTCAGCATACTCTACTTTCGATGTAAAGGAAGGTATTTGGTTAAAGACTCGAACTTTTAGAATCGTTTTTCGTCGCGTAACGTAGTGACAAATTGCTGCGAATTTAGAAGAGCTAATAAATAGCGCCTGGAGTAAAGTTTGTAGAGGAATAAACGACCTATTAATTGCTAAAGAAAAAATTTTCCGATGAGCTTTCCATCCCTCAATAATTGTGTTTTATCGTCGTGACGCTGTGACACACTATTTTCCCAACAAAATTTGGAGCACTAAACATTGCTCAAAGGATTCATTTTCACAGCGGACGTAGTTCTAGGCATCTGCTATAGACTAACGTGAAAGTAAAGTCGAAAAAATGTTTTCACTCCCTTAGAATTGTCTGAGAATCACAAAACTTAAAACTTTATTAAAAAGCTTGTTCTGAGTCTAAACTTCAAAAGAAACATACCATCGGGTAGAGAATCGAATTCTCTATCGACTAGTGTGGCCTTCCATTCTTTTAGGAAAAGTGTCTAGGTGAGGAAATTGAAAATACAGTTTTCAAAAAACGTAAAACTGGATTTTTGCCTCCAAAATTTAACTTTTTAAAAAAAATGTGACATTCGTAATTAGCATCAAAAACTGCATCTAGCGATGTGCTCTTTTCAGTTCTACTCTAAAATAATTTTTTTAAAAACTTGATCAGCGAAGTGTCGCGTTACGTAGACAAGCCGTAGGGTAAACAAGCAGTATGTACAGAAGACCACAAAAAAAGTTAATTCTTCATCATGACGCAAACGAGAAGAAATATCAACATATAGACAAATGCTGATTAAATTTGGTTTTATACAGATATAATTGATCATATTAATCAGGGGCGGCGGAGTGTTTTAAAATTTGGTAAGGCTCAGGCTTGACGGTTTTTGCGTTCTTTGGAAGTCGAAAAAGTCCAGTACAAAAATGCATCGGAAAACAATTTCTACTTCCTAATTTTTGGTAAGGCTCAGCCTAACGGAGCCAAAATTTGGTAAGGCTCAAGCCTTACCACGCCTAGTGGCTCCGCCGCCCCTGATATTAATAATAATCTAGAGCATATCTTAAATAAACATTTTTTTCTTGATTAAACATTATTTTTCCTTCTCATTTAAATGAAATTTCAATAATTTCAATTTCAATTTATTCTTGAAAATTTCTGAGAGAGACATTGTTATTACTTCGTGCGCAAGAATTCTTGTATATTATCCCGTTACGTAAGCTTTCTGTGCACATCGTTCCTAGTAACACGTACGAGTCGTAAGAATGTCAGGCTTCAGCACATAACCGCAACCGCCATTATCTAAAAATCGACCATAGTTTAAAGCCATATACTCATCATAACTTTGATAATTCATTGCAACTAGAATAAAATAACTGAATTTATCAGACAAAACAGCCTTAGACTACCCATGCAGGCATTTTTTTGATCTAACGCACTGCGAAACGCGTTTTTTTTGCACCAGAAATGCGTCTGAACGCGTTTCACTACACTTGAAATGCGTTTGGATGCGTTAGACAGAAGTAAATGCTGTTAAACGCGTCATATATCAACGCGTTTAGATGCGTTAATCAACTCTGAACGCGTTTAAATACGTTAGAACTAAACGCATCTGGCTGCGTCAAAAATTAACGCGTCAGAAACCTGCGAAAATAAACGCGTCTTGATGCACCCAAAAGACTAACGCGTGCGAACGCGTTCAGATTTAACGCGTTTCGATGCGTTAATGTACTTCAACTGCTGAATGAAAATTTCCTCATTTGAAAAGATATGAGCTTGTGCCTCCATGTTTTTATATAGAAAAAGAACTGTCTTTAGCGACAGCGAGAAGTACTTTAAATGAAGTGCAGATTATTCCATCGAGGTATCGCATCTACTAAAGAAAGTAGTCTGAAGAAAAGTGAAATATAATATCACACAAACAGTCTCTTTTAACGTGATCAGAAACGTTTTTTGATAGACGCAGGTAAAATTACCACTATTACATAGAATTAAGAAGCAAGCAAGCAAAACAACAAGTCTTTTTTATGAAGTTACAGATGATCGAAACACTTACTAATGATACAGTTCATCTTTCGATCGTGTGCAGCTCAGACGGCTATGTGTTTGCTTCTTAATTCTAGGTATCCATGTTCGAACCACACTCAAAGCATGTAAGTAATATTTGTTTCCTTTCGTTCTTAACTTGTGATTCTTTACTCTACAGCTCTTCCTGGTCACAGATATGCTTATAGAGATAGCATAGATTTAAAATTGAGTTCAAATGCATTCAAAATTTAAATTTTTTTAAATTTAAATTTTCTAACGCGTTTAAACGCGTTAAAAACTAACACATCTAAACGCGTTTCTACCACAAAAATGGTGCAAAACCGACGCGTTCAAACGCGTTAGGAACTAACGCAAATAACGCGTTTTTGTAGCAGAAAATGACGCGATGGGTAATCACTGATACTTTAAGAACTCTCAAAAAAGTATAGTTTCGTTAACAAAGAGTCGATATTGAGATTTACACATGACTGGATAGTTTCCAGTGTCTACTTTTGAACGTACTGTATATTTTTGCTTGAAGAATGGATCTTTTTAGAGGGGTAGCATGAGAGGTTCTTTTAAAGAGTCGGACGGCAAAAAACTTGGTTCTTTCATTTTTCAGTTACTCGAGTAGTTTATATGCAGCAAAGTAAACATTAGATCAATTCATAAAACATTCTCAGTCAAAGTCTCTCGTACTATAGTTTATTTTTCTCACGATGGTGAGATCTTCTGGGAATCTCTGAAGAATCTACATATATTTGCAAAATTTGAAGTAGCGATGCTGATCGATTTGATTTCTTATCTCGGCAGTTAGGCAGAAGTGCGCTTCATCAAGTAAGAATCAAGCGAAACCATCCATTTGTGTAGTTCAATCATGCTAAAAGTAGTCTGTCAAAAGTTTCCCGACTATTAGCAAACTATTTAATTAGGCCTTACCCTTACATTAGTTTTCAACATTTAAAATCCTGAATAGGCCCGCAAAAGTTCACGTTTCGTTCTTTGAACGTGAACGCTAAATACGTTCGCATTCCTTGAACATTGAACGCTAAAGCACTGGTGGACGTGAGCTATTTTAATACGAACGGTGTTCATATTGTCTGAAGTAAATATATACTTCTGTTCTTGCACTGTAGTAAGAACATATATATTTGTGCTTGGTCTTATCTGATCAATAGAAACTCTAGTGAAGGATCAGATGGTCTGCTCAGGGCAGTGACCAGATTATTGCAATGTAAAAAGGATATCCCTTGATTCTCTGATCACGACATTGATTCTTCCAAGAACAGATCGAGGATTTCTTGACCAGAAGACTAGTTTTTCCTTGTTCAAAATCATTACAGTAACTACATACGTTTTCCTCTGTTATCGTAACCCATTTGGGGCAAACGAGCGTTGATTTATCACTAAATATAACTGGTAATGGAGAAAGCTGTTTCACTTCGTATACTACTAGGTGAAATTGCTATATAATGTTTTGCAATACTATTCATTCCACGCAAGATCAACACCGTTCAAATGAAATAACGTTAACGTTCATCAGAACATTCGCGTTCACGTTCAAAAAAACTTCATGTTTACCGTTGGCGTTCAAGGAACGCCAACGTGCTTTAGCGTTACGTTCAAAGAGAACGCTAAAAAGGAACGCTGTACTTTTGCAGGCCTAATCCTGAATTGAGAAGTTCAATTCTCACACTTTCTTTCCAGTTAGAGTACATACCATCTCCCCTCCTTCCAGTCTTTTTTTCTTGAGGCAATTTGGGGTGATAGCACTTTCGTCACGTTAATTTTCGTCACATAGAAAAAGTACTTTCGTCACACGTGACGAAAGTGTATGGCATTTTTGGGAGAGTACCATCCCGCACTTTGGCCATAAGAGTAGGCATTTTCGTAACTAACTGTGTAATATACCTACAACTATCGTCACACTCCATCGCGAACTTTTGTCACAACTCAAAAAGAACTTTCGTAACACTGATAACATAGAACTGCTTACATGCGGACTACTTCAATCTGGACTGCTGCAGTGTAGACTGCTCCAGGCCGAACTACTTCTAAACGCAACAGACTCTTGATTTTGATATTTTGACTGTAGAAAAAGACTTCAAAAGGGTTTTTTATGCGTTTCTCTAAGAAAATGCAATGTTTGTAAGGAAAAAAGCAAGAAGTTATTACTCCAGTTTGCACTGCTACAGTTATTTACATTACTGCAGTTTAGACTACTTTAGTTTGCACTACTAGACTTTGGACTAATGAACTTTGCACTACAACCTTGATTTCATCGCAGCTGTTTCATGCAACGTGTGACGAAAGTGCCGACCTATCTAAAAAGTCAGACACTTTCGTCACATAACGGGTGAACTTTCGTAACCACTATTCAAACATGGTTAAACTTTTGTCACTGAAGACAGAACTTTCGTCAGAAGCTCAGCGTTATCCGATGACGAAAGTGCTGTGAAACGCAATTTGACTCAAGCATACTACAGGATGAACGCTAACGTCTGCCATAAACCCCCAGTGTAGGATTTATATAGCTATTTACCCATTTGTACTCCTAAATTCCACATGTTAAGTGGATTCATGTTACTTGAATCCTGTCTTGTTCCTTTTGGATATACTCTCATTACTGAACCTTGAGTTTGTTTTATGAAATCGTGCGAATTCTTCGACTTTGTAATGTTATCAAATGTAAATTCAGATAATTGAGGTGATTCGATGCAAGAATCTATAATTAATAAACATTAAAGATAATGTAAACAGTTTGACAACTTACAATTAGTTTTTGTATCATATAGGACATTCCGTAAGTAAGGAAGTAATTTATCAAACTCAGGCTCCACTGCCTAAAATCGTAATGACGCTTGTTTATCTGACAAAAAAAATTGTTTTGCGATTTACTTTTGTCCATAGAGGCAGTTGCAGATTCATAGATTGTAATGCTTTCAGCGGAGTAACTTGTGGACTCTAAAGTACGTAATACATGAAAGACGAATAATCAAGCAATTCTAGTAAGAAGACATACTCTCACTAACACTTTATATTTCAGTTCGTCAGGCGATGGTAAAACAGTTGGATCATCGGTGAATATCGCTTCTGTTAGCAGATAATCTGTAAAAAGAGTTTTGGAAAAGGAAAAAGTAGAATAAAATAAATAATGGGTTTGACATCTCTGACCTCCTAAAACTTCTTTAAGAATACGAGCCATCTCTTTTTGTTGAGAAAATGTGCAGTGATTTTCAATATCAAGAACAACCGGATATCTAAGCAAATAAAAATGCCTTTTTACTGCGAATACATAGTCTACAAATCCAAGATAGAGTGAACTATTCACACTGTTACCGAACATTTTCGACTCTATTTTGTTGATGGTTTTGAAGATTTTTGCTGTCAGAAAAAGATGGATTTCGGATGAGTGAGTTTGAACCAACGCACTATTCTCTATTAATCTACGCAAGTACAAGCTCTTCATCTGTCAGTTAAAATCTTCATCTGTGTTACCGAAGAATATCTGTTTTTTCTGGAACCTCAGGTTCGGTAACCTTCATTCACATAATTCAAGACGAAAAAGAATACTAGGATGGCTCACTCTTAACTCTTCTGCTACTGGTCTCCGCTCAGAAAAATCCAGATCTGCAGTAGGAAATAAGGATTGTTTTCTTTGAGGCAAAAAGAATGGAACATTTAACATTTTTAGTATATCTTCTTTTCATTCTACCGTGAAGCCTTGATTTCTTTCTGAAAAGATCCGCCATTCAATTCTCTGCAAAATTATATATTTTATTAGTGTTTACAATTTTAGATTTATCCTAAAAAAGTGGAAGGCAAAGATTTACCAAAGTGATATTACCCTAGTGAATGTACTCAAGCGTGAGTACTCAAAGTCGTACTCTGCTGAAAAATGTCCCGAGTACTCACACATTTTTTTGCTCATTGAGTACTCACATGAGTACTCATGAGTGAGTAACGAGTACTGTGGGTATGACTTTGAGTACTCATGCTTGGGTATTGTTGAGTACTCATATAACTTTTGACAAATTACTCATGAGTATTGTTCATCTGATATTTTCATATAGAGGAGGGATCTCAGGCAGCCAGAGTAGGACTACAAGTCTAGTCATAGACGAGTCCATCCCTGACTATATACAGAGAGACCAGTGAGGAAATAATAATATAAATATTCTATGTTTCCTCACTACATTCTACGTTCTTTATACAGTTTCAGTTTAGCAAAATAAAACGGTGAATGAATATTTTCTGAGTACTCACATGAGTAACTGAGTACTCACATGAGTAACTGAGTACTCACTGAGTAACAATACTCTAAAATTGTTAGTAGTACTAATATGAGTACTCATGGACGAATTATGAGTAAAGTCGTACTCATCGTATGAGTACTTTCACTAGGGTAGTTAAACATGAAAGGGATGATCGTCCAAATAAGGTATTTCGAGATTTACATGGTGCTGTTAGTCGTACAAAAATTGATCGATTGTGCAAAATGGTTGGCGAAACTGGCACTGTCGAACTAGAAACATCACCTGTCGGCTCCGCAGAGTCTGAACTAAGGCGATGAAATTTGTGCTAAGAGGAAAAAATGTTGGAAATTAAATTTTACATACTACCCATGGGGAAATTTTACCGACATTTCACACGTGACGGAGCATGAAATGTTAGCTTGGACTTTCCGAAATTTTGTAGCTAAAGAGAGTAAGTTTCACGACATCGGGATCATGCAGTTGCAACGCTTCGCCACGCCTGAAAAATCTTCACATGTGTGTACCAAAGAGCCGTTGTATGAGAGAAACAACCAGTCATGCTCAATCGAGGCCTCAGATTTTCTTCTAACTTGTTTTATCTTGTTCAGCATGTGTGAAAACCTACAAATTCAAATTTTGAGCCTACTAGGACTTTTACTTTCTGAGTTCTGGACGCTTTTCTAGAGTCCGCTCGATGGAAAATTCAGCGTCTAAACCTTTGGGGGTTTCTAGAAACCCCTTAAGTTTACCAAAAAGCTTTCAGATTACATAACTGGAAAGAACACAAAATTCTGAACAAAATGAGGTATCACTGATAGTTTTTCAGTTTTTCTAAGCCATAAACTCGCCAATCTAAAAATTAGCTTTTTATAGTAAACCATTTTTGCTTGAACATCTCACCTTTTTAAAATAATTGCTAAAATTATGAACAATATCTCATTTTGTTCATAATTTTGTGCTCTCTTCAGTTATGTAATTTGAAAACTTTTTTGGTAAATTAAAGGGGTTTCTAGAAACCTCCATAGGTTTTCAAGAGATCCTTATAAGACTCCAGACTGTTGAGACCGGATTCGGATAGTCGGAAAGTCCAGTTGAATGTCTATGAAAAAGTGCATCTCGTTTTATACTTCAGCCACACGCTCGAGAACGGCGTGAGGGTGAGGGTTCTCGAGCGTGTGGCTGAAGTATAAAACGAGATGCACTTTTTCATAGACATTCAACTGGACTTTCCGACTATCCGAATCCGGTCTC